TTTTGAAAGTTCTTGTATTTAAAGGCTTTATGAGTATTTGTCCATTAGACTGAGCTTTTAGCCTTCATACTCATGCTTTCTCTTTCATCTTTGTATAATATGTAAGAACCATAAAAAAAATAAAAGTAATTTATATATGTTGTGGTTTTGAATAACTATTTATGGTGTGTATTAATAAGTAGAAGGTATGATGAAAGTTGTTAAAAAAAATGGAATTGATATAAATGTTCTAAAATTCAAAATATAAGTATTAGTCAAGGGACTTTGAATGCTAAATAAATCATGCATGTGCAAACAAACAACTTTAAGAAAAAATAAATAATAAAATAAAATATGTTAGTAATAATTAATCATAAATGGACATTTAACTTTCTGAAATGCACATCAACCTCAGTAATCAATGTACATTAGCTAGAAAGCAAACATAAAACTATGCTTGAAAATAATACATGAAAAAAAGAGGAAACATATGGGACCTATGACCAAAATTTTCAAAGCTAGGATTGTCTATAAGTTTGAAATGATACTGAAAGCCTCAATATGGGAGTGAGAAGAAAGAAAAGGCTCAAATAAAATTTTAGTTTACAAGAATAGGAGAGTTGTTTTCTAGAAGTGTAAAAGAGTGAGGATAAGCAAAGGAGAAAGCTTGAGATTTAAAGCACCAAGAGTTGCAAATCTTGATTGGAATAGAGGTAGGGGAACTAATCCTTTCTTATATATGATATTTATGCACATTATGATCATGAATATGAGCTATGAATATGTTAAAATTTTGGTAATGGTAGTTATCTATTCACTTGTGTAAATTAGGTTTTCATGATTATAATTTTATTATTTTCAAGTTACTCTGGTAAAACCCTCCTTTAATTTTTTTTTTTACCGTTGGATTTAGCTAAAATTTTAATATATGAATTCTAAGATCTATTTCTTCATTTTTCCCGTTCGAGTCATTAATTAGAAGTCTGTACTTGGAGAAATAAATTCTGCATGTTTGAGTAAATTAATTACCCTGTAATTCTGTTACTAAGTCCTCTCGGTAAAATATAGACTCTGACCTATTTAACCATTAGATCAACCTGAAAATATGATATATAATTTTTAGGATATATTACTACATTTTGACCGATTGGATTTTTAATTAAAAGTCTATGTTTTGACAAATTAATTTCGAAAGTTTAAAAAAATCTGATGAAACATGTATTTCTGTTCTTAAGTTATCATGGTAAAAGCTTCAAATCTATTTCATTTACCGTTAGATTGAGCCCAAACATTAGTATGTAGTTTATAACACATATTAAGTCATCTTGACCGTTCAGATTTGTAATTAGATGTCTGTGCTTAGAGGAATTCATTCCGCATTTTGAGTATAATTGAAAACCCCTTAAATTTTTGTCCTTATGTTACCTCGGTAAACCCTCAATATCTACCTAGTTAGCCGTTAGATTAACCTGAAATTTCAATATGTAGTTCCTAACACATAGTGAATTACTTTGTTCATTCAGATTTTAAATCGGAGCTACAGATGTAGAGATATTAGTTTCGTATCTTCTCAGGGATCTCAATATTCCTTAATTTCTAATTTTGGGTCATTTATACAAAAATTATGATTTCCTCCTTATTAACCGTTGGGTCGGACTGAAATTTTACCATATGATCTAAACATGTTGTTAATTAGTTTGATTGGTTCAAATCTTTAATTAATAATGTGTAAAAAGTAATATGTCCATGAAATAGGAAAATTTATTTGTATCGGGTAAAATCTTGAGTAATTATATTCTTAAATTGTATGTGTAGTTGTATTTTGAGGATTGGAAGATGAGTAATATAATATATTCTATATTAGAACTTAAATTATATTGAACATTACTGAGTTTGTAATCATTATTTGAGATAAATCATGCACTATAAATCAGTTGATGGTAAATTTAGATGGGAAGTATATACATTCTTGCCATAATTGTAAATCCGAACTTTATTTATTTATTTTCCTATGACTTTGGTAAGTCAGGATGGGAGAGGTTTGAAGCCGGACACTACTTTGGTAAGTAGGTGGGAGGATGAGAGTTTAGTGTGACATAAACAGTACTGCTTTGGTAAGTAGGCGGAATGTCCCATGCTATGCTACTTTGGTAAGTAGATAATATCACTTTGTTGTGTTATTTTGGTAAGTAGACAAGATTACCTTCTTGTGCTACTTTGCAAAGTAGATAATATCACCTTGTTGTACTACTTTGGTAAGTAGATAAAAATCACCTGGTTAGATTACTTTGGTAAGTAGTCAATATCACATGGTTATGCTACTTTGGTAAGTAGACAGAAGGATTGTTGACTGCTTTGCTTTGGTAAGTAGGCAGGTTAATAATATGTTGTATTGACTCTAGTAAATGGACTAATGATTTTTACTTGAGAAATATTATATAGTATTAATGTAATAGTTTGTTCTTGAGTATGTTTGAGATGCATGAATTGGACTGATTACCACACTTGTGATATTAGTAAGATTGCGGATGATGTATATTTCTTGATTCGGTTAGCTCATCCTACTGTTTGTGTTTGTGTATGTGAATGCAATGATCGTATAATGTGTGATATTATACGGGAGCAGAAACTATTTCATATGAATTAACAGATGGTTCTGGGCTTGTTAAGAAGATGAGAGATCTACGGGGGAAAAAAAGAGACATGGGGAATTTCAAAATAATTATATGTTTGAATTTCCGAACTATGTGAAATTTTAAATTTCAGAATTTTATGAACTGTGTGGAATTTTATTTTTGGAAGACTTGTATTGTAATAAAGAACTTAATATTTTGTTGATGTTGAAATTTGTCAAATATATATATATATATATATATATATATATATATATTGTGGAACATAAATCGTAACGCCTAATTCGGGGTGTTACATTGTTTGGTATCAGAGCAATGGCTATCGAAAATCTTTTGGGGCTTTTGGGAAGTGAGCTCGTTAACTTCTGTTTTGTGACTCTGTGATTTGTTGTGATGATTTTTGTAGCTCTTTTGGAAAGCACTGGTTTGAAAGGTGGATATATGCATTGTTTTGACTTGTGTTTGAATTGCTTTCTTTTGACATATATGGTAGAACATGGCACGTCGATCTAACAATATTGGTCAAACACCCCTAACTGATGATTTTAATTCGGCTATTGATCGGATGATCAACGTAATGGAGAGGCAGCATACCACTCAGGAGCCGAGGACTCATTCGAGGCTGAATGACTTTCTTAGGCACGACCTATCAAGGTTCAATGGAAGGGCTACGCCAGATAAAGCGGATGCTTGGATCAAGGACATTGAGAATATCTTTCATGTGATCAAGTGCATAGAGGAGGAAAAACTAGATTACGCAACCTTCATACTAAAAGAGGAAGCAAAGTACTGGTGGGATGGTATGAAGCGACTAATGGAATCTGATGAAGAGGCTATTACTTGGAATAGTTTCAAGGATTTTTGGAAAAGTACTTCCCGGTTAGCGCCAAGATCGAAAGGGAGCAAGAGTTCTTGGCCTTGCGTTAAAGTGGGATGCCGGTGCAAGAGTACATCGACAATTTTGAGTATCTTATCCGTTTTTATAGTCGGCACATGACGAAAGGATGGAAGTGTCAAAGATTTGAGCAAGGTCTCAGGTATGACCTGAGGAGGATGATTGTACCCTAGAAATCAAGAAGTTTCCAGCCTTAATCGAGAAGATGAAAAAGGTGGAGTTACTGGAAATGAATCAGAATCGAGTTGGCAGGACTCAGAAGAACAAGTTTAATGGAGGGAAGCCAGGGAAGAAGCCCTATCAGCAACCTCAACTGCTTATGCCAACAGTCGTGAAATGTTTTGAATGCAGTGGTGCGCACTACAAGAGGGATTTCCTTAAGCTCTCTAGAGTGAAGGTTGAAAAGAAGAGGTGCTTTGTGTGTAATAAGCCAAGAATTTCACTCAGTTTGTCCTGAGAAGAAGATAGCACATGCACAACGACAACCAAGTTCTTCAGGTGCGAAGCCCAAGATAGTTGGAAGGGTTTTGGCTTTGATCGGTGAAGAGGCTACAAAGCCAGGTAATCTCCTTCTTTAACACATGTCTTTTGTTTGGTAGATGTGTGCATGTATTGTTTGATTCTGGAGCTAAGCACTCCTTTGTTTCTTCTACTTTTTGAAAGACTTCAGTTTGCCCGTGAGTAATCTCAGGTATGAATTGGTGGTTTCTACACCAACATCGGATCAGATCTCAACCAGTTCAGTCTATGTTGGATGCCCGATTGTAGTCATCGAATGCAAGTTCAAAGTGAACTTGATCTCTTTACCTCTCTAAGGCTTAGATGTCATTCTAGGAATGGATTGGTTGACCGTCAATCACATTCTTCTTGACTGTGGATGACAAAAGTTGGTTTTTCCAGACTCAGATGGTTTAGAGTTGATCTCAACCAAAGAAGTTTTAAAGGATGTTAGTGATGGGGCCGCGTGTTTTGTGCTGGTGGCTCAAGAGAAGAAGTAGAGTTTTGAGGTTCAAACGACGGGTATCCCAGTAGTGGAAGAGTTCGTGGATGTCTTTCCAGATGAAGTACCGGGGTTGCCACCAAGTAGAGAAGTGGAGTTCTCTATAGACTTGGTACTAGGAGTTGAACCATTATCTATGGCTTCGTACAGGATGGCTCCGATAGAGCTAGCCGAACTGAAGAGACAAATTGAGGAACTACTAGAGAAGAAGTTTATCAGGCCGAGTGTGTCACCATAGGGAGCTGCAGTCTTGTTAGCAAAGAAGAAAGATGGTAGTTCAAGGTTGTACATCGACTATCGACAGTTGAACAAGTTGACGATTAAGAACAAGTACCCACTGCCAAGAATTGATGACTTGTTGGATCATTTGTGAGGAGCTGGTGTGTTTTCAAAGATTGACCTGAGGTCTGGTTACCATCAGATCTTGGTCAAGCCAGAGGATGGTTAGAAGACGACTTTCAGGTCACGTTATGGTCACTATGAGTATAGGGCGATGCCGTTCGGGGTGACCAATGCTCTTGTTATATTCATGGATTACATGAATCTAATACTTCGACTGTGGCTAGATAAATTTGTTGTTGTGTTCATAGACGACATTCTTATATATTTAAGGGATCATGAAAAGCATGTTGAACATTTGAGGATTGTGTTGGAGACGCTTAGGAAGCATCAATTGTTTGGGAAGTTATCTAAATGTGAATTTTGGTTAGAAGAAATACAGTTTCTTGGTCACGTGATTTCTGCTAAAGGAATTTTTGTAGATCCAACGAAGGTGGAGGCAGTGTTAAAGTGGGAACGTCCAAAGACGATGTTAGAAATAAGAAGTTTTATGGGCCTAGCTGGTTACTGCAGGAGGTTCTTCGAAGGTTTCTCCAAGATAGTGGGTCCTTTGACACAGTTGCCTCGTAAGGAACAACCTTTTTTATGGACCGACAAGTGTGAAACAAGTTTTGAAGAGATGAAGAAAAGGTTGACAAGTGCTCCAGTATTGGCAATTACAGATACTTCTAAAACTTTTGAAGTGTTTTGTGATGCTTCATACCATGGGCTTGGTTGTGTATTGATGCAGGAGAAGCGACCAATAGCTTATGCATCGAGATAGCTGAAGGTGCATGAAAGGAACTATCCATTGCACGACATCGAGTTAGCGGTTGTGGTTTTTGCTTTGAAGACTTGGAGGCACTATGATCACATTTTCAAATCTTTAGTGATCACAAGAGTTTGAAGTATCTCTTCGATCAGAAGGAGTTGAACATGATGTAGAGAAGGTGGATGAAGTACATGAAGGACTTTGATTTTGAGTTGCAGTACCATCCAAGGAAGGCGAATGTTGTAGCCGATGCTTTGAGTTGGAAGCAAATGCTTATGTCAGCTTTGATGGTGAAAGAGTTTGAGTTGATAGAGAAGTCCAGAGATATTAACTTGGGTTTACAGTTGAGGCAAGATCACCTTGGTGTAATCATTTAAAGATCACAAATGAATTTTTGGGAAAGATCAAAGCGAGACAGAATGAAGACAAAAGTCTACAACATACAGTAAAGTTGTTGGGAACAGATCAAGCTAAGGACTTCAGTTTGGGAATAGATGGTATTCTTCATTTTTGAAATAGAGTTTGCATTCCAACAAAGAATGAGTTGAAGAAAATGATTCTAGAAGAAGGACACAAGAGTCGTCTTAGCATACATCCTGGTATGATTAAGATGTACAATGACTTGAAAGAATCTTTCTGGTGGAGTTTGATGAAAAAGGATGTGGCAAAGTTTGTATCTTCTTGTTTGGTATGTCAGAAGGCTAAGATAGAACATCAAAGGCCGGGTGGAATGTTACCATAGTTGGATATTCTCCAATGGAACTGGGACAACATCTCGATGGACTTTGTAAGGCACTTACCGAGATCATCGAAGGGTCATAATTCCATCGAAGCGAGGCCAGTAAGGGTGTTAGAAGTTCAAGCAAAGAAGTTACGAGGAAAGGAAATTCGTACAGTGAAGGATCTTTGGAACGAGGAAACCCAAGAGATGACGTGGGAGCTAGAGGATTATATGATAAAAGAATACCCTTATTTGTTTCAGTAACAAATTAATTTTCAAGGACGAAATTTTTTGAAGTTGGGGTGAATGTATGACCCATAAAAAAATAAAAGTAATTTATATATGTTGTGGTTTTGAATAATTATTTATGGTGTGTATTAGTATGTAGAATGTATGATGAAAGTTGTTAAAAAAAATGGAATTGATATAAATGTTATGAAATTCAAAATATAAATATTAGTCAAGGGACTTTGCATGCTAAATAAATCATGCATGTGCAAACAAACAACTTTAAGAAAAAATAAATAATAAAATAAAATATGTTAGTAATGATTAATCAAAAATGGACATTTAACTTTTTGAAATGCACATCCAACTTGGCAATCAATGTAGATTAGCTAGAAAACAAACATAAAACCATGCTTGAAAATCATACATGAAAAAAAAGAAGAAACATATGGGACCTATGACCAAAATTTTCAAAGCTAGGATTTTCTATAAGTTTGAAATGATACTAAAAGCTTCAATACGGGAGTGAGAAGAAAGAAAAGGCTCAAATAAAATTTTAGTTTACAAGAATAGGAGAGTTGTTTTCTGGAAGTATAAAAGAGTAAGGATAAGCAAAGGAGGAAGCTTGAGATTTAAAGCACCAAGAGTTGGAAATCTTGATTGAAAAAGAGGTACGGGAACTAATCCTTTCTTATATATCATATTTATACATGTTATGATCATGAATATGAGTTATGAACATGTTAAAATTTTGGTAATGGTAGCTATCTATTCATTTGTGTAAATTTAGTTTTCATGATTATAATTTTATTATTTTCGCGTTACTATGGTAAAACCTTCCTTTAAATTTTTTTACCGTTGGATTTAGCTAAACTTTTAATATATGAATCCTAAGATCTATTTCTTCACTTTAACCATTCGGATCATTAATTATAAGTCTGTACTTGGAGAACTAAATTCTACATGTTTGAGTAAATTAATTACCTTGTAATTTTGTTACTGAGTCCTCTCGGTAAAATATAGATTCTGACCTATTTAACCGTTAGATCAACCTGAAAATTTGATATATGCTTCTTAGGATATGTTACTACACTTTGACTGAATGGATTTGTAATTGAAAGTCTATGGTTTGACAAATTAATTTCGAAAGTTTAAAAAAATCTGATGAACATTGTATTTCTGTTCTTAAGTTATCATGGTAAAAGCTTCAAATCTATTTCATTTACCGTTAGATTGAGCCCAAACGTTAGTATGTAGTTTATAAGACATATTAAGTTATCTTGACCGTTCAGATTTGTAACTAGATGTATGTGATTAGAGGAATTCATTCCGCATTTTGAGTATAATCGAAAACCACTTAAATTCATATCCTTATGTTACCTCGGTAAACCCTCAATATCTACCTAGTTAGCAGTTAGATTAACTTGAAACTTTAATATGTAGTTCCTAACACATAGTGAATTACTTTGACCATTCAGATTTTAAGTCGGAGCTACAAATTTAGAGATATAAGTTTTGTATCTTCTCAGGGATCTCAATATTGCTTAATTTCTGTTTTTGGGTCATTTATACAAAAATTATGATTTTCTCCTTATTAACCGTTGGATCAGACTGAAAAGTTTACCATATGATCTAAACATGTTGTTAATTAGTTTGATTGATTCAAATCTTTAATTAATTATATGTGTAAAAAGTAATCTTTCCATGAAATAGTAAAAGTTATTTGTATTGGGTAAAATCTTGAGTAATTATATTCTTAAATTGTATGTGTAGTTGTATTTTGAGGATTGGAAGATAAGTAATATAATATATTCTATATTAGAAATTAAATTGTATTGAAAATTACTGAGTTTGTAATCATTATTTGAGATAAATCATGCACTATAAATCAGTTGATGGTAAATTTGGATTGGTAGTATAGACATTCTTGCCATAATTGTAAATCCGAACTTTATTTATTTATTTTCCTACGACTTTGGTAAGTCAAGAGGGGAGAAGTTTGAAGCCGGACACTACTTTGGTAAGTAGGTGGGAGGATGAAAGGTTAGTGTGACATAAATCGTACTACTTTGGTAAGTAGGCGGAATGTCCCATGCTATGGTACTTTGGTAAGTAGATAATATCACTTTGTTGTTCTACTTTCGTAAGTAGACAATATTACCTTGTTGTGCTACTTTTCCAAGTAGACAATATCACCTTGTTGTACTACTTTTGTAAGTAGATAAAAATCACATGGTTAGATTACTTTGGTAAGTAGTCAGTATCACATGGTTATGCTACTTTGGTAAGTAGACAGAAGGATTGTTGACTGCTTTGCTTTGGTAAGTAGGCAGGTTAATAATATCTTGTATTGACTCTAGTAAATGGACTAATGATTTTGACTTGAGAAATATTATATAGTATCAATGTAATAGTCTGTTCTTAAGTATGTTGGAGATGCATGAATTGGACTGATTGCCACACTTGTGATATTAGTCAGATTATGGATGATGTATATTTCTTGATTTGGTTAGCTCACCCTACTGTTTGTGTTTGTGTATGTGAATGCAATGATCGTATAATGTGTGATATTATACGAGAGCAGAAACTATTTCAGATGAATTAACAGATGGTTCTTGGCTTGTTAAGAAGATAAGAGATCTGCTAGAAAATAAAAGAGACATGGGGAATTTCAAAATAATTATATGTTTGAATTTTCGAACTGTGTGAAATTTTAAATTTCAGAATTTTATGAACTGTGTGGAATTTTATTTTCGGAAGACTTGTGTTGTAATAAAGAACTTAATATTTTGTTGGTGTTGAAATTTGTCAAAAATAATATATATATATATATATATATATATATATATATATATATATATATATATATATATTGTGGAACATAAATCGTAACGCCTAATTCGGTGTGTTACATAATAGTCGTTAGGTAAGACAACTTGTCAGAGTAGACATTCATTTTATGTGCTTTGCTTGAAGTAGGATGTACGTTCCTCTTAGATATGCCCTCAAGTGAAAAAAATTCTGTGAATATCTCATTTGTCTCTAACGTCCATTTTTTATATTTGATTTGTAGCTCTGTGGATGCGTGTAGAATAACTTATCTGCAAAGAGTAGAGTAAATTTTGCATGCAGTAGATATGTCTTTTCTTATCACTTTTGTTGTTTCTGAACATTGAGCAATTAATGTCATTTATTGCTTGCTCAGAACAACAAAGTGCTTTTTGATTTCCTACTGTTAGTTAGTTTTTTTCAATTAAGCTCTTTTCTAAAGATATCAAGCTTTGTATAGAGACTTCATCATTGGACAAAGTATTGTTTAAGCTCATGGTATCGTTTAGTCAAGTAAACGCTTCTTTTGGTTTTGTATTTTTTTAAACAAATAACATTTAGTTTATAAAAGCTTTTCTTTTTTTATTTTAATAATTAAGGTCTTTTAACGTGTTTTGTTAGAGACATTGTCTCAACTGTTTTGTTTCCGAGAGCTATGTTGAATACCTCTTTCAAGTATGATAAACATCAAGCGTTTTACTTCAATTCTCTTAGACGCTTTAGGCACCATAGCATTTAGCCATGAGTTTGGGTGTTTTAGCCTAGATGTTTTTCTATTACCTAAAATCCTAAGTTCTTTCCTAAGCTTTTCTACGTTGTGGATTCTAGTTCTAAGTCTTTCTGTAAGTTTTCTATGTTTGGGGATTCTAGTTATAGGTCTTGTGTTTTCACGTTAAGTTGTTTTCAAATTATTATCCCATTTTAATGTTATTTGATTAAAGTTAAAAACATGAGAGCATTTTAGGCACATAGACAATTTTGTCTTAACAGATAAGTGCTTCCTTTTGCCTTGTGTGCATGGAAGGGTTATGCAGGTATTGTGCCTTCCTTGTGTGGAGGTGAAGGTGTCTTTCTTGTCCTTGTGTGGCAGGATTACATGTTCCTTAGCTAGAATGCAGGACTACTCGATTGTATCTGTATGGGAAATCTACAGATAGAGCTGTAGGAGCGGCTATAGTCGGTGAGGTAGGGTACAAGAGTGTGACTGATTCTTTCCACTATGGTGTTATGGTACGGTGATGCTCATGGTGTTGTTCATGACTGGGATAGTCATAATGGTGGTGTATCAATGATGATGATCATGGTATTTGAGATACTTTAGGTGATGCTATGTTGATATTTGTGTTACTATAATGGTTATAGTAAGTAGTTAGCATAAACACTAATGAGTAGATAGACCAAGGGTCTCTGTGTGAGATGTTAGTGATAACATCAATGGTTAAAGATCAAGGATCGAGAATCGACTAATTCATTGTGTTTGAATTGTTATGTTAGAGGATTATGAATCTTATTGTTATTACTATTATGTATGGGGTGTTTGATTATTGTTGATATAATCAATATGTTTATATTTTATTATTATGATTGTTTTATCGGTAGCTTACCTTATACATGTTTGTGTTTGTGTGTTGTGAATGATATTATCGATGATGATCGTATAATGTGTTATACGTGAGCAGATGATGTTGTAGGTGATGCTAAAACATGATAGATTTGAGAGATGACGGAGAACATACTTGAGATTTTTATTTAAAGTTATTACATTTGAACTTTAAGATAATGTAATTGTAGTTGTTTTATTTTCTTCCTTATTTTTATTAGATGAATGTTTTGGAACTATTATGTTTTGAATAAATTATGCATGTTTAAATGTCAAGTTTTTAAGAATACGTTTTCGTGTTATGATAATGTTTTGAATTTTACCTATTTTTGAATAAGCCGTGACACCCTGAAATTTGGGGCGT